ATCCGAAATTGATTTGTACGGCGTCAATCTCACCCACTTCGATTGATGACGAGTCCATCACTCTTCACTATATCCAATTTTCGAATGTATTCCCCAAATAAACATAATTTATGATTTCTGTAAAGTCCGCTACTTAAATACTGTCTGTAGTTTATGCGAGTAGTATACATTTAAATAAAACACTAACGGTTTAAAACGCGATATATATTAGTTAAACTCTCTCACTGACCACCGCTGCTGCAAAGCATCCGAATACGTCGCAATAGGTAATTTTTTTTTAAACAAGTTTAATTAATATGCATTGCCGTTTAATTTTAACATTTTTTTTTTGATGGACTATTTCGTATTGTGTTCCGACGGAGCCACAAATACTAACCGGGCGTTATGGGCGAGCGCGTTAGCGCTCGCCGTGGGCTAATTTTAACAATGACAATTTGAATGACAATTGACAATTCAGACAACATTGATAGCGTGTTTTAGATGTCAACTAGCGACATCTAGTTACAATTTTACAAAACAAACTTATTCCTTAACAACCGTTAAAGTGTTTTATTCAAAAGTCCGGTACTGTAAAACCGTGAGGCATAGGGCAGACAATAAATCAATAAATAAATTTAAATCGTATGTAACACAAAAATTGCTTGGAAAGTTTTATTATGACGTCAAACAATATTTAAAAGATAACAACGCTTGGGGTTTGGAGGAACCTGCTCTATCAAGAAAAAATATGTAGTGCACCATAAGTACGTGAAGACTGTAAAATGAAACTTGGCGATAAAAGGAGTGGCGGCGAGTTTTTTGCCAGTTCTTCTCGTTCGTTTTACGCTTTTGATTTGAGAACTGGTAGTAAATGTAAGTTTAGAGTCTTTAGTTTTTAATTGATGTGACGTTCATAAGTGTACTTATTTGTGTGTGCCCGTTTACACCCTCGTGGAGCATGGGGCGAACACATTTCTGTGTCCGTTTCACTGATCCCCTTTTTTAACGGGATCAGACTTCTGTGCCCTGCCCGACCGAAACAATTTTATGTTTCCCCGGTATTCGAACCCAGAACTCGCGCTTAACGCAATGCTAGGCCGTTTAACCATTTGGCTACAGAGGCCGTCAAGTGTACTTGTTTACTTACGAGAATAAACGTTTAAGAATTTGGCCAGACACATTACTATGTCTATTTAATTAACCATAGTAGTAGTGAAGCGAAACGGCGCGAGAACCTTATTTTTTTTTAAAAAGAAACTTGTTCTTGTGACTTGTTGAAGTTAATCAGGTTTCTTTGGCTTTCGATCGAAACTATTTTCTATATTTCACCAGGGTTCGAACTCAAGACCCACTTTTTTTTCTTAATTGTGGTTGACTCGAAGTTCAGTCAACAAAATGTATGAACTTAATATATGTATAAAGGCATATTGTTTTGTTAAAATGTCAGTTAATGTTTCTAAATTAAATATTTTTTATCTATTTACTGTCTATAGTTTACGCGAGTAGTACACATTTAAATAAAACACTTTAACGGTTTAAAACGCGATATATTAGTTAAACTTATTTGAAACGTCGGGCCGAACTTAAAAATCATTTTCAAATATGTTTAACAAATATATCGCGTTTTAAACCGTTAACGTGTTTTATTTAAATATTTTTTATCTGTAAATACGCAATGTTGGTTATATACTCATATACTTACAAGAAGAACGACTTACAAGCGATACTATTTTGCGGATTTATAATTTTATCTTACAGTTTCACGCTTCGTCTGAACCGTCTGGGCAGATTCTTTATTAACCTTTTCTTGTAAGTATGAAATACTATAAAAAGCTTTTAGTTACCTTGTAGAGATAGGTGTATGTTGAAAAAACGTTTCTTTATTATTAACGTTAGGGCGGAGACAAATACATACAAACGTTAAATATATCATCATTTTTCAACATTTAGGTTGTTCAGTTGATAAGACATCTATGCAGCTCATGACTTCAATTTATTTTATTTCTCCGGGATTCGAGCTCGTACTTCTCTCAATGTATGCAATAACAATACACTCCAGAACTTGATGGCAAGTGTGTAACTAATAAATATAGATTTTTTAGTTGAAGACATAGACTATTCATCTAGATTATTAATCAAGAATACATAATTTAAAAATATATATATATATATATATTTTAAAGCCAGAGGGTATTGCAGAATATCAAAGGTTTTTTTATGTTCATATCCTACTAAGATAGGCATAAGACAGACATACACAGTTATACAGTGTTACAGAATAATTATATATGATAAAGTAACAATTAATTACAGACAACGAGAGAAAAACTTGAAGTAAGAACTTATTGTATATAGAAATAAATATTAATAGAAATAGGTTCGTACAGAGTTCTATACTATATCCAATTTACGTAAATATAAAACAATAATAAGCAAAGCGGTATTAAAAATAAACGACTTAAAATTGAACTTCTCAATATTATCGTGCGACAGTTTTATAAGACAGGAAGTTAATAGCTTCGTAGCGCGTTGTAAAGTACATTTCCTCTGTGCATAGCTAGTAGCCTCATGTGTTTTATTAAATATAATTGAATTAGTAACACATAAAAAGTTAAAAAGTTTATCACGTTCCGGATGTTTTACAACAGGCTCACTTATTACAAGTGTTTTATTTATTTTAATATGTACGACCTACGTGAACTACAAACCAATATAAACACTTTCACAACAAATTAAAAATCGACTTTAAATAGGAAAACAATGACTCAGGACTAGTCTTGCCGTAATTTTTTAAATTTATAATCAAATACTCGAACGCGATATATATCGCGTTTTAAACCGTTAAGGTGTTTTATTTTAATGTGCACTACTCGCGTAAACTACAGACAGTATTTAATTACCTAATTTATAACACGTTTTGACCCGTTAAATTCGTGTTTTATTTAAATTTATAATCGATTTTGATTTTTATAATGTCATCATGTGAAAAATATTAAAGTTTTCAAACTTTTACAACAAGATCAAAATGAAAATGGATTTCGTTACTCACTATTATAAATGGGCTCTATTTATAATTTTCTTATAAACCGTGAAGTGATACGCTGAAAAGTTAATGTAGTGTTAAAGTTTTAGTTTGACTAATCGACGTATGTCAGTCGTAAACGCTCACTGTCCGAGTTTGGTAACTTTTCCTCAGTTGTGGCGAATCGACGCCATGAATTATGCATGAGAATTAAGTTTGACGATAGATAAGCGGCTGGAAGATTTATTTTGCGATATGATGTGTAGAAAACAATCCAAGTTGTTTACGAACTCTGAATTATGGGTGTTCTTTTTTATTGTGAATATTTCAAACAAGTTGAGACAAGTTTACGATTATTTTTCTGCGTTGTATACCTCCGTTTTTATTGCATACTAGCTGTGCAAGTAACTGCGTTTGCGTAGAATTGTTATTTTGGGCAATGAATATTTTGAGTTTTTCCAAACCTCTATCCATCTTTATAAATTATGTGTTGCTCACGACGTCGGTCGCATCCTGCCGTACTTGCATGTTAATCTTAAAAGATATAGTGTTGTAAACTTTTTGAGATCATTTAAAGAGGAATCATTCTTTTATACATAATTTTTTGTGTATCTTGATTAATTTTCGCAGCGCACGCAAGGGAAACGCTCAAAGATAAATATTTCAAAGACACAGTTGCAACGTGATTTTTTATAGTCTAAAGCCTTTCTCGATAAATGCTCTAACCAACACAACCAATTTTCAATTCGAACCAGTAGTTCCTAAGATTAGCGCGTTCAAACGAATAAACTCTTCAGCTTTATAATATTACTATAGATGAATTGTTCAATGAACGCGCAGAGAGAATGAAAGATCAAGGACAGACATTGTAAGACTCTTTATGTCGTAATTCCTTCGAGAAAAATACACATTTGACAGCTTACCTACATAGTTTTGACAAGCCCATCTGTCTGTGTCACACGAGAAAGATTTACAAAATAGTATAGACTATGCTTACATGCGCTTTGAAATTTCACACTCAATTACAGCACCAGATAAAATACTGTAAACCGGCTTAAAATTCGAAGTTTTTGCTAATATAGATCGTGTCTTATTCCATTTCAAGTTATTTACTGTTATATCTTACTAACTTACCTATATGTTTCGAAGAGTTATTTAGAGCTTTAAAGTGTCACCTCGGAATAGAAAGCGGTGTAGTGACAGGGTAGCCTTTTATCTGAGTTACGCACGCTCTTAGAGGACCGCCCGGAAATTTAACTTCGTTAAGAATGAAATATGTCCCGTCGTTATTCCACGGCTTGTTGCGCGAATACTTACATTTCCAGTTCTCCACCTCTAGTTTTCTCATCAGAGCAAACGGAAATAATTTTAACCGAGACTGAGTTATGACAAAACTCCAACGGACATTGCAGCATCCGTAATGAGAATGGAGTCGAGATATGTATAATTTATTATCACGTGTTCTAGTTTAGGGATTGGCCGTTTTTGCACCGAAAATGCATACTTCTCTTTGGATAGCGTTATTTCCTTACGGGAATATTTACGACTCATTCCACTTGTAGCAATAAGAGATAATACAGTACGTTAAGGTAAAATAGTGGGCGGGCGGTAGAAGGAAGTATTTAATTAAATCAAGCGTCGGGGGGCTCTTCACATCGCCGCTACTAATCACAGGTAGGCTGCCTGAGTCCATCCATTTGAATACCAAAACGCCTGGTGCAAATTATAAGAAAATATTCCTGCAAAGAGATTTTTAACATGTAGGCTAAATATTTTGAAGAATCTTCTTTCTTCTAAATTATTATTATTTAATTACAATCTGTACTAAATACTATTCCGTAACAGTAGAATAAAACTAAATTTACTAAAAAGGTTTTGCATTTAAAATCAATATACAACTTGCCAATACTGATACCACTTTGTGTCAGTGTTTGACATTATTAATCTTTTTGAAATATTTTGAGTAATTTTATATAATTGTTAATTTAGTTCTCATAATATGGAGCACGATATTGTGAACACTAAATTCAAAGAAAATAGAGTAAGTTCAGCGTATGCTGAAATATACTTGGATGATGATTACTGCTCCAAAAAGTATTTACCATCAGAACCAGTAAGTAAAATCGGGAAAGGAAAAAGGAACCGAAGGGAAACCATTAAACAAAAAGAAGGTATTATTGGTGATTGGATTTCACCTAGTGACTTACTTATTGGAATTATCGACTTGAAGCCTCCTTTCACTTCAAAGATCAACCGAGGGAAAACTCATGAAGGAATCCTACACATTGGAAATACAGTCCTGGAACATGAACGTGCGAGATTTCTTAAAAGTCTTTCTGATTTAATTCGAGAAAATAATTCTTCTTGGCAACATATACTCAAACACGAGAAAGAAGCTGTTGTAAAAAGAGTAAAACAAATATATGAAAACATTTTTAAGCAAAAAAGTAAAATAATGACTGATGAAATTGCAAGATTTTATGAAGAGACTTTAGAAGAATTGGAAGAACATCTAAAATCGGAGATTCAACCTGTTTTGAAAAGTGCTCATGCAAACATAATTTCTACTTTGAATAATGATATCAAACAAAAACTTAGAAAGGAGAAAAGAAAATTAGAAGATGTCTTAAGAAAAAGACTTTTGAGTGAGGTAAAAAAAATTGATACGTACTATAATTTGCTTTATCGGAATGAGTTATCCCGGAATGAAAATATCATATGTGAGGCTTTGCATGAAAGAAACAACGCCATTCAAGCGTTTCTAAAGTTAGTTGAAGCTGAAAAATTTACCACTTCTATGTATGTAATGAGTCTCGAAAGAAAAAAATGTAAAATAAAAAAGATGCTATTAAGAAGACACCATAACGCTGAAACTTTAGAAAAATTGTCCCAATTGAGAGAAAAGAAAGATATTGCTGATAGTTTAAGAGAAAGAGAAGTTAATTTCTCCAAATTAAATGAAGAATGGGAGGAAAAAATTAAGAAAGTACTACAACTCTTTCTTAAGTTTATAAGTTTTTCCCTAAAACTGTTGCCTGAACAATCGACTTTCTTACTTGATTTTGAAAAGATGGTAATTTTACAATTAAACGAAATTCAAAAAGACCACGAACATGCTCCCTCCATTCTCATAGATGAAACCGAACTAATTAATACCTTTAAGTTCACCCAACACGAACAAGAAGAATATGAATGTGATAAGGAACCATTTATTTTAATTGGAGATCTATCTGATCCTATCCCTCCACGTTATGGCAGCAGAGAAACTCTGGAATCGAATGTAGAGTTGCCGTTTATTAGGCTGCAACGACAGTACATGTACGCTAAATGTTATGAATATAAGGAGATAAAGAAGTTTCTAAAATCTCAAATTTGTAGATGTCATAAAATGCCTTCACCATCACCGTCGAAGTCAGCAATTGATGAAGACAAGGTCCCTATTGAGGAAATTCATATACCACCCGTAGAGACTGTATCTTCTGATGAGTTATTACTTTGTGAAGATTTTAAGCGCTTGAATGAATGTCCAGCTCGAAAGTGTACGGAAATGATTAAAACTGATTCTTTTCCATTATTGCCGTCGTATATGGATTTCTCTGAAGATAATTACAGACGTGTCACAGCCATATTAAATAAGACTCCAGATGGAAAAGTGACACCTGAAATGGTGCAGCCAAAAGAAGTAGTTTACAGGGAATTACCGTTTTCTGTCACTAAAGAACGATCTCGCAATGTTGAAACACAATATTCTAGTCAGGAAACGATCAACGAAGAATTAAATGTCCCATGTACTTGTACTTGCAACGAACCTGATGTTGCGAAAGGAATAGATAGTATCACTAAATGGAGAGCTGTTTCCAATGACATGAATATTGCGCTTAATAAAAGGAAAATTTCTTTACAACGGTTAATGCAGGAGCGACCGAATTTATTACAATTATTTACAGAGGAAAATTATGACTATAAAATTGGGAAATTAATAATACCTTAAGTACCTGCAGCTTTTCGAGTTTCTTTACTTTTTACTACGACCCGACGTTTCAGATGCATCATTAAAAATAAACTAACTAATACATTTCGCGTTTAAGACTGTTAAAAGTAATTTAGTTCATTAATAACTCATATGATAATAGATCTTTCACCTATGTTTGTGTATTTATTAAATTTAACAGCCTATAATTTTCGTATTGTCTTTATTGTTACATTAAAAACTTTAGTCAGATATTACAGTATATTTTATTAAGCAAAGTATTTAATACGAACAACGCTTAAGTAAGACGAGCTACTAGTTAAATTAAACAGGTGTGAAATGTGTTTCAGTTCTAAACATCACAAATTCCTTGCAGTGCCTCGGCGGTTTCCCACTGTATTCATTTGTTTCTGAGTGTACATCGTAAACGTGTGTACATGTTAACGGGTACTGTTATTAAAACAAAGTTCTTATTGAATTTATTGAAATTCGTTTTAAATACTACACTGCATTCACTATACACTTACATACATACAGAACACCTTGTTTGCCTGTAATATGCACGTTAAGGCGCGAGATTTTATTTCTTCTGGTTTTCGAAGAGAAAATAATAGTATTCGGTCGGCAGCGACAGAAATACACTTGACTGGCTCGTTGGTCTAATAATTGTATTGTATGGCTAACAAGCAACGGGTTTTGGGTTCGATTCCCATCGGATCCATCATGTTTTTATTAGTTTATAATAATATGTTTTAACATTGTGTGAAAATCTGGATATATATACCGCGCGCACGTAGCGACACAGTAAAGCTTTCAGTCTGTAGATTTAGAAATATCCAATTCCAAAATAGTCGACAAAATGGTCGACAGTGCATCTTGTTTGGGGTTTCACCTACTATCAAGTGTCAAGTCCGTTTTGTAGCTAAATGGTTAAAAGTCCTGGGCTCGAATCCCGGAGAAACAGAGCAAATACTGATAAACTGGCTGTAAAGAAAACAGATTAGTAAAACGCACGCAGAATAAATGTGCTCGCCTCATGCCCCATGGGGGAAACGGGATTCCACACTTATCTTAAAAAATAAGGTTACGTTATGCCTTACAAACAAGCTAATATAATTTAATAGGCCTACATTACATCTTATTAGACAAAACAAATTAGAACGTTAGTTGAGATTAATGAAGTGTGAGCGAGAATAATGTGTTAAGGTAAAACGCTTAGCCGAACCAACATGTTAATAAGTCGTAAGGGAACGTCGCTTTATGACATTCCTTTATACGGGATAATTCTCTGGAATAATCCTACGAAATTCACTCCGAACATTATCAAATGACGGGCTCTTTGGTGTAATGGTAGCAACGGTTAATACTCAACCGCGCGTTCGATCCTCACCGGGTCTAACTAGTTTCTAATCACTTAAATAAAACACTTCACGGTTTAAAACGCGATATATTAGTTAAACTTATTTGAAAATGATTTTTAACTTCGGCCCGACGTTTCGGATGCTTTGCAGCTACCCGTGACCACGGCTGCTGTGACAGTATTTACGTTTCTTATTAATTTATAATTATTGTGGAACATGTTGGACTTCGTCTGTAAATCTGGTTATTAAATGGGTGGTAGGAATATCGAAATTCCATCCGAGTCACAAACCCACGCAGTCTGTGAATTTTCCATGTCCATAGCCACAATGGGTCGACAGCACATCTTGTCCACATGCTTGACTGTCTCCCTCTATCATAAAAAATAAATACGTTTCTTAAGCTCAATTGACAAATTAAATTCAAATAACACAAATGGGACTCAAAGCTATGACCAACTATGTGTGTGTCATGTCCGCTTTCATTTTTCAATCTAATTAAAAATCTACATCATTAGGATATAATATATTTTTAATTTACATTTTAGACCATGGTTTAAGAGGTAAACCTAAACTAAGTAGTCGAGGTTTAAACCAGGTTTAACTATTATTTGATTTTGTTATAAGGCCGATAACGTTTAAGCACATTCTTCAATGCTGAGTATAAACAAAAATAATAAATGTTTTGTTATCAAATATTAAATATCTATCCTAAATTATCTCTCGTACAATAAAGGATTGTTAATTAAATATCCTTCAAGTAGAATGACAATGAAGTGTAAATTCAGTGAATTCCAAACAATATCGGGAGACAGGATAACTCGACCGTGCATTAAATTTATTAGATAACGTTAATATTTGTTGTAGTGTTGAAGCGAATTGACTCAGAAATAACAGACGGAGAATTCAAAAACATATCACCATTCTATTCGGATATGAGACGATTTTTGCGATTATAAAAAGAAAAATAGAACGAGTTGAAACTTTCCTGCTATTTATAAAATATCTCCAAAATTACCTCCTGGCATTAAATATTTAGGTCTAAATAAAGTTCGCGTCTAAAACTATGGAGCCAATTTGCCACAATTTTTCTTACCATTCATTAATTTTTAGAAATTAAGCATACAACACGGAAAAGAGGTTTAATTGGAGAAAAACCATTGAAAAATATACAATAGAGCAACTATAAAAAACTAAGTATTGTTTGTAGATTACGCACTTCTTTCCCACGAGACCACATCCGAAACGTAGTTATATTAAAAATAAGTTAACTATATTACGCGTTTCAATTCGTTAAAATCGTTTTATAAAAAAAAACTAATGCTACACTATACGTGTCACTGCAACAAAATAACAGATCAATTCAAATTTCCTCACCGTGAGGTGAAGTTAAACAGTGTTATGCTAAGTTGACGTTTTCCATTCCATAATATTGTGTTAAGCGGCAGTCGCGCTGAAATCTGACTCAACTACAGTCTGAATAAACCCAGTACTTTACACGCCGCTTTTATTCACATTAAGTATATTATATTAACACGGCAACTGACATTAACATAATTTAATAACGGTTATAGTAAATCACTCGTTAAACCCAGATATTGATTCTGTTCAGTTATGAATCACGGAGCGAAGAATATTGATCAAACTCTGTACGACTCTGTTACTACAGTATAATTAGTTGAATGTTTCTAGTTGGAAACAGCTTCGTGACACAATTTGTATAAATCTAGACGGCTGTAAACGTCCCTTTTGATTTTGAAGATACATAATGAAATCTTTAAGACTCAAATCGAGTCAACCTCGAAAGATATTAAACGTGAAACCGTCGAAATACGAAGCGGCTGGAGCGATACACTCTAACAAAAAATATTGGAACGGTATATTCCACATTTTGGATAATGCCAATAATGAACCGGTGAGTTATATATTATATAATTATTTTATGTTAGTACGTGATTATGACGCTTCCGTTATGTTTTAATTTATTGCCAAAAATATGCCGACTCCCGTAGAAAGTGTATACTATTTAATAAAGTTTGTTTAAACGCTAATCTAAAGAACTACATTGAATTGAGTTTTTTTTTATTGTCTGTAGATCTAACGAGGGATGCTTATTATATTAACACTTAACGGTTAGGTTATATATATATTCATTCTCATATTTATGATGGAGAACTGACGAGCATGGGGTACACTTCATGGTAGGTGATAAACCCCATCTATATCCTGTTTTGAATTTAGGTATTCGGTAATCCACAGATTGAAACCAAAACGCGATTAAACTTTCCAGCCGTGGTCACGTGGACATGGGAGAGCCTCCCCGTGACCACGGCTGCTGCAAAGCATCCGAAACGTCGGGCCGAAGTTAAAAATCATTATCGAATAAGTATAACTATTATATCGCGTTTTAAACCGTTAAAGTGTTTTATTTAAATTTGTACTACTCGCGTAAACTATAGACAGTATGTGATTAATCCTACCGCTCATTTACTAACGAGATTTGCAGACGTAGGCCAACATGTCTAAATAAAAAATATTAAATTATTAGAAAAATGTTGGGTCCGGCGAGGCGAACCCACGTCCTTCAATTGTTAGCCTTACATTGCTACAAATATTTTATGAACGTCCCGACGCTTCACTGCAACAAATTAGTATTGTAAATATTTTTCGTAATTTTGTTTATTAAGATATAGATAACGTCCTAAAAGGTATATTTATCAATTATGCTTCTTTATAGATTAACGGAGGTGAAATAATTTCCTTATCAGAAGCTCTTCCCCAAGACTTGTTTGAAAAAGTCTGTAAAATTCTTAACATAGCGCCAACAAGCACTGAATTCGATACTGATAATGAGAAAGAAGGTAATCTATTTTCTAGTAGATTATATATTATAGTTTCTAGTAAAATGCAATACCGTTAACACTATTTGTTTATAGGAAATCAAAAACGTTGGATAACGAAAATTCCGTTGCTCTCAAAGCGAAAAACCTTTGAAGTCGATAGAGAATTGGAATCGGATACTGATGTAGAAATACATAGCAGGTATTTTAATATTCTGTATATGAAATAAAATAATTAATATTATTTTTACAAAAATTTCTACCTACTCACCCATTCATAAAGTCACGTATTTGTAAAACAATATTTTACATATCTCTATTAAAGGTGATTTTCTGATTTCTTTTTCAGTTAGTTCTAACAGAAGTTGTATAGCAATGTGTGGATTTCTAAATATTCAAAGCCAACATAGGTCAATAGCACATTTTCTTAAGGTGTCATTTGATTGAGGTATTTTACCTTCCTTTGAATTAAAAAAAATGCATTAGAAGCCAATAAAGTAGACGAGACCACACTTAAAATTTTCAGTTAGGAACAATTAGGTACAACAATAACATAAGAAGTAACAAGTTAAATAAAACGAGCGATAAAAGGACATCAATTTTATACAATATTATTAATATATTTCATTAAATAGTAAGCAAACTGTAAGTTCTTATTTATAGTGAGATATAAAGAACAAGTAAATTGGCCTGATAGCATTATCTAGTCATAGTCTCAAGTACTGAAACGTAGATATCAAAGATAACAGGTATCGCATGATAAAATATTTCACGGTTAGAGATCATCTTGTTTCCTATATGTTATACCTGGTATTTCTAGAATATTAGTTACTCTCGTAACCAAATTATTTATTTCGTATAACTTATGTAAACCGAGTTATCACATAGGTACACTTTTAAAATAGGCTACAATATTTTAAATATATTACTATGTATAGTGTAATGTGGTGGTGGTAGGAGTAAAGTGTGTTTCGAACCCAAACTTAATTTCAGCCGAAGACTTGGTTCACGTCTAGGTCATAAACTAATGTTCATAAATAGTCATTAAAACAGAGAACTTGAATCGTATTAACATTCGTCTTGGCGTAATCTTAAAATAAAACACTTAAACGGTCTAAAACGCGAGATATATTATTTAGTTAAACTTATTTGAAAATTATTTTAACTACGGTCCGACGTTTCGGATGCGGATTGGATCGGATTTATTTCAAATACGTTTAACTAATATATATCGCTTTTTAAACCGTTAAAGTGTTTTATTTAAAAATATACTACTCGCGTACAGATCGTACTTAGTACCCGTAAGAATCTTTCTCGCATTAAGTTATCAAAAATTACCAAAATCTTTAGAAGTCCTTTTTTTCAGGAATCACATAACTTTTATTAGATATATCAATTATTTTATTCGTTTCTTCCAATACTATAATATACTATATATACTATAATATATAACGGCTATATAATTTCCATATTAACTTAGGGTATTATGTTTTCTTGAATTTCGACGGTGTAATTTGACGTTTCATGACGAAGCAAATTTTAGCTTATCTCTAAAATAATACAGGCTTGTAAATAACGACAGCCGGTTTACGTCAAATTTATCAGAAACGATCGCGGATCAATCTGTAAGTTGGTTTGCGCGAGTTGAGCTAAATAAATTAAAAGTAAGCGCGTCGGATTGAGCAACTAACTAAAACTCATTTCATTCTCAGTTTCAATTAAGTTAAGCAATCTTAAACCGAAATAAGCTTGTTGATAGAACTAAATACATAACTAACTTAATACATTTATACTAAATGTAATCTGCTATTGTGCGCTTTGAATAGAACGCTTTTTTTTCTATGGCAGTAATGAAGAGAAAGGTGATAAGTTGAATATTCATCAAGAGTTTCTTCGGAAGCCAGTACGAGAGCAAATTACCTGGTCTACCCGGTACCTCCAACCTGAACAGGAACACGAGAAAACCTTGGTTAAAAAGGCAGACGACCTCACAGATAGAGTATGTAATTAGTCTCCTATCATGGACTACCTAATATAAACTCAAAATAGGTCTACATCAAAATTATATGTCTACGTACTGTGTCTTACCTTCTTTCAACTGAACGCATGATACACAAATAATGATGTACCCTAATATTTCAGATAGCCAACGAATTCTGTGATTACATGAAAGAGCTAGGAGGTGATCAACAGTCGCAGTTGTTTACACCGAGGGCAATAAAAGAACTTTTTCAGGTGAAATGACTGTCAAACACTAGATATCGTTGTTAGGAGAAAAATTTACATCTATATATAAAAATGAATGCGCAAATTTCGAAAGCTTTTTTATATACCTTAAAGTAGTTGAATGATTCAGAGAAAGTAAGCCTGAATTTTTTTTAAAACAACATAAGCTTCAATTGCGTAATTTTACTTAAAATTTAATATGAACTTAAATACAATAACAATAATGACTTTAGTATCGTAAATAATTATGTCAAAATGTGAAGCTATATTTTTTATAGTGATTTATTTTTAAAAAACAACTAATCTGTTTAAAATTTATTTAAATTAAAAAGTTTTATCACAATTGGTGGAACAGCGCGATATTTTTGAACTTTGTGAACCCCGTTGTACTTTCATTAACCATGCTAAAATAGAAAAATAAGCACGACACTGTAGTCGTTTCATATTTAAAATTTAATACGCTTTCATGTGATCAGTGAAAACTGGGATTTTAAAAAATGTTTCCTGTTCTCCTTTTTCATTCTTATAGATTGAATTTGACACCCACGTCGCAAGAAGTCTCAAAGTAGAGCCAAAAGAACTTCCCTCAATCGATGAAAGAATCGCGACTGTTACTGGTAATGCGGAGGTAATATTACTTACATAGATGTATTTAACATAAAAATTATCTAAAGCAATTAGCATTTCAATAAAACCTTTAAACTATACCTACATCATGTGATATACATTTTTATTTATTTTTGAACTCTCAGTAAAACATACTCAATACATACAAGTGACCACTTAACTTTTTCTGGTTCTTATTTTTTATGAATGTAAGATGACGTAACTACTATTAGCTATGTTTTTTGGTAATTAGCCATAGCTCCGACTCCCACTTTCAACAATCCACTTAGATTCTATACTTCATAAACCGTTTACAAATTTTGCAGAAGTCACGCTACGCAGCCCTTGACCGTGAAATATCAAAGGACATTAAAGCAGAGCGACGACCCAACAATGTGAAAAGTTTCGCACGCTCATTACCAAGGCACGAACAATGGAGAACTCCTCAAAATGACACCAAGAATCAGTGGAAATCAGCGCGACACGTGCCCAAAGATCTTGTTACTTTAAAAACTGTTTGGGAAGGGATTACGAACCTTAGGTAATTTAAATCAACTTAATCGTTGTTTAATTAAGTTGATTGACTTACATGGTTTTTAAAGTATATTAAAATAAATCACTTTAACGGTTTAAAACGCGATATATATTAGTTAAACTTAATGGCCACGGGGAGACTCATTCTGACCACGGCAGCTGCAAAGCATCTGAAATGTCGATCCGTAGACAAAATTTCCAAAGTTTAACTAATATATCGCGTTTTAAACCGTCAAAGTGTTTAATTTAAATCTATACTACTGGCGGAAACTACAGTATTTGAAGGGCATTAAGAGTAATTAACTAATCATTGTGGATTACATAAAACAAATTAACCCACATTAATAAACAATCTAGGCATAATTATCGTCTGTGGATATTTTTGTCAAAGATTTCTATGGCTATTGTTACAGAAGCGTAAAAGAATATTGTCGTTGGATGATCGAACACCCAGAATATCGTCGCGCTCCGTACTTGAACAGTCTCGGAATGTTCGACACAGCTGTTTTGGACGCTAGACTTACTTTCGAACTACAAGATTCTACCCCTCCAATATCCCATACGGAAATCCCAGCTCCTATCGAACATATTCGCAAACGACTTTCAGACTTGATGGATTCAAATTAAAGTTCTCCATTTCTCCATGTTTAATACAATTTATAGTATTTTTATAAGGCAATCTCTCCACGCTCTCTTAATTATTTGCTAGCCTAAACTCCATAGCATTATTTTTTATTAAATTAAATAAATAAAGTATGTTTGTACCAAAGCGATTACTTTATCTATTCCAGCCTAGATAAAATATCGTAACCTTGTAGGTTTACTGTTTCATTTCAACAAGAATCCATCTTCTACTTCCGTAACACACTTTAAGTATATGAGTACTTTTTTATATAATATAATTTTATCTTTTTTACATATGCTGTGACAGCGACTTTGTCCGCATATAATAGTTATTTTAGGCATCAAATCTTTTTTTTTGGAAAACGCTCTTTAACCTCCCCTCCACCCCTCTTCATGTTTATAAATTGAACCTGTTACCCACGACGTCAGTCGCGTCCTGTCGTTCCTACATGTTAATCTTAAAAGATCGAGATATATTTTGGGAGACATTTTTTTAGTATCTTTAACCGTTTTCGTAGCGTATGCAACGGAATCCCACAAATAGAAAAAACTTTCCCCGTTTCTTTCACATTCTACGTCTCTTCGCCCCTATTCGTTACATCGCGATATTTTATAGTGTTCCTTGATAAATGCTTTAACCAACACATTGTTTTTAAATTCGAACCAGTAGTTCCTGAAATTAGCGCCTTTCAAACAAACAAACAAACTCTTCAGCTTTATATATTAGTATAGATAAATGATCTCCCGTCAATTGCAGTATCTCAAATATACCCACACTTTGAGTGCGAATCGTTCTCAGCGGTTCCTTACCGGTACGTTTGCTTTCGTTAACAAGACATTATTTGCATCTATATATTATATTATCAGTTGTGTTTCCGTCGGCACTATATTTCAACGTCTCCTATAAGACGTAGTGTAACAAGATACCTCAGCGTTTTATCTCAGGTTAACGTCCATTTTTTATAAAAACGAAGTAAAACATTTATTACTTGAATATTTTACAATAATGTTCTGTTGAATAAACTATAAAACAGACGAGATATAAAGATAAGGCGCGATACTTTGTACCCACTGGAAATATTGTGTCACATATAAAAGGAGATCTTGAAGATATTTATCATGTTGAATCCATATTGTATACTATTCTATAGGTGAGTTGATTCCTTCGCGGACACAATGCCTCAAGAGAAAGAAAGTGAAACGCCGACGGAATTCGAAGACGTTTTAAACCGCGAAGTGGGGCAATTTGGAAGATTCCAGCTGATAAATCTCTTTCTATTGGCTTTCCCTGCGATCTCATCCGGCTTTTTAGCTGGCGATTATAATTTTACTGCAGCTAGATTACCACACAGATGTGCTATACCAGAGTGCGACGGGGACACTCCTGTTTACGCACCAGATTGGATATTAAACGCTGTTCCAAAGACGTCCACAGGCTTCGCAGACTGTACAAGATACGCGCCTATCAATACAACAGAAAATATAAACGACACGTGCCCCCTCCAAATATTTGATAGAAGTAAAATAATAAACTGCGATGGATACGTTTACGAAAGAACAAATTCAGTTGTATACGACTTCGGAATTGAATGCCAGGAATGGATCAGGTCTCTATCAATAACACTAAACAGCGTTGGAGCAATGGTCGCCCTCCCACTTGCTGGTTTTGTCTCAGACTACTTCGGCCGGCGTATATCGATAGTTTTCTTCGCATTCAACATTGTTGTAGTCGGTGTAATAAAAGCATTCTCTGTTAACTATTACATGTATCTTGCAACTCAGTTTTTGCACACCGCTATCGGTGGTGGAATATTCAGCGCTGCGTACATAATAGCTGCAGAGATAGTCGGTCCCGAATACCGCGTCACAGCCAGTTGCACTATGTCATCAGTGTTTGCTTTAGGATTGGCGTTAGTTGGTGCTATCGCGTCAGTCGTCGGAAATTGGCGTCACCTTACTCTAACATTATTTGTACCAGTTACTGCAATATTCTCCTATTACTGGATTGTATGCGAGAGTCACAGATGGTTACTGAGTAAGAATAAAACAAATGAAGCTCAAATTGCCCTTGAACGAGCTGCTAGGTTGAATGGAAGAAAGATTGACGATGAAGCTATGAAATTCCTTCTTACAGCAATACCGCGAAGCGATAGTAAGGAGACGAGCCAGAATCTCATTGTTAAAGTAATAAAATCACCAATTATGTTAAGAAGATGTTGCACAACACCTATCTATTGGATTGCGACTACGTTTATTTACTATGGTCTAACGATAAATTCCGTAAGTTTATCAGGAAATATTCATCTTAATTATATATTGGTGGCTCTAGTGGAAATACCAGGATTTTGGACGGCCTATTTAGTTTTAGATAAATTCGGTCGTAGAATTACGTTACTATCCGGTTATCTATTGTGTGCTGCATGTTGTATAGCATTTGCTTTTACGCCGACTTCGTTCTATGGGCTATCATTATTTTTATATTTAGTAGGCAAATATTGTACTGGAGTCGTAATGACGTCGCTATATTTGTTTACGTCTGAGCTCTATCCAACGCGACACAGACATTCGTTCTTAGGTTTTTCGTCAATGTTAGGTCGCATTGGCACTGTTATTGCATCCTTCACTCCACCTTTGATGGACTACTGGTCTGGAATACCATCAATCATGTTCGGAGTTGTGAGTACAGTATCAGGGCTTTTGATACTTACTCAACCTGAAACTTTTGGAAAAAAAGTACCAGATACATTTGAAGACGCCGAAATGCTTGGAAAGATCTGATGAATAGCTTCCTTTTAGAATATACCGAACTAGAATTATGTTAGTGATAAATAAAAATCGACGAGAAAAAACAATGTCTAACAAAAATTACTACACGAAATAAATACAGCATTTTTTAAACTATTGTTTAATTAACTTCTTAATGGGTTTGCTCATTGTATTTTATTGATAAGATAAAACAATTTTTTATTAAGATTATTTGTCAAGTTTGATTGATTGACCTCAATAATAAAAAAATATATTGTTATATTGTTTAATTTATAACACTAAAGTTTATTTCCTTTCTATGCGATCTATCAGAAAATATATCTTCTTCTTTTAAATAAAACACTTTAACGGTTTAACGGTTAAAGAATGAGACATCCTCCATCTCTTTAGTCTCCCGTGACCACGGCTGCTGCAAAGCATCCGAAAGTCGGGCCGAAGTTAAAAATAATTTTCAAATAAGGTTAACTAATATATCTTTTAAACCGTTAAAGTGTTTTATTTAAATGTTACTACTCGCGTAAACTATAGACAATATCTTCTTCTTGTTAATAGTGACATCTTTACAAATCATATGTTACTATGCAAAAAAGCGCTATCTTATTCTATTACACAAACAAGCGCGTAACAAATACTAATCTTAATTAAATACATCAATACTAGATGGCAGTTATTTCACAGTTTTTAAATATTTTAATGATAACATTATAAAACAAAATGCGATGCTAGTGTGAAATTAACTAATTTATATAATAACTTCCGTTGTTTTACGTATAATACCTAAAATGTACGTTTTTAATCGTACATGACAAATGAATTTAAATATTTAAGAAGGTTATTTGATAAACATAAAATCCGTAGACAAAGAATAAATATTTGACGTTACTAGAGATTAAATGTCAAAGTGAACACTGACAAATAATAACTATACAATAAATACTAGTAAACTGTTAATTTGGAACATTATTAAAATGTCTTGCGGCAAACGTCCTCTGGTAAAAAACTGGGACAAACCGAAGACCTTGCGAGTAATAACCGCCTCAAAATATGAACAAAATGAAGACTCTGTTAAAGTTCATTGGAGAAATGTTATTCACAACTTGGAATTGTCTTATAAAGATGAAACGGTAATGTGTTTTTATAAGTAGTTTGAAATTATAATTATAACATACTCATCTAGTCGGAATGATTAGTTTTACTGTTGAATCTCCTATTACACCTATGTAAAAGCCTGTTAAACGTAGTAATTATGCCTTACTGAACTAGATGGCGCTTTATCATGCGCTTGTCATATTTTGTACAGAAGAATGTTTGAATAGACCGTGAATTACAGAATTATCAACATATTTCTTTTAAAAAATCCCATTTACATCCTTCCGTTTTTCTCATTAATTATACAAAACAAATGTAAATACGCAAAAACAAAAAAAATATATTTACGATTTCTTAACAATTAAATATAGCGTTGTGTGTAGGTTTTTAGCTTAATAACTCCTTCCGTATGTGTCAGATATTAAACATCAGCACTCCGGTAGTAAATAATAGTTATTCCCCGCGCAAAGTGAAGCGCAATTCCGATAAGAAACATTTTTTCTCACAAAATAAAGAGATCATAATATATATGCTTTACTTATAATAAAGATTAAGTAAAATAAGTGTCACGAGCCATTTTATATTTTTCGTTTTTTTTTATGTGACTCAAGTAAACTATAGACAACTCGTACACATTAAAATACGTTTTATATCAATCAACTAAACACATAAACATCATTTATGAAACAAATCGCTATATGCTTATGAAGGCTTAATAACAAAAAAAACGCAAAATGTTTTTACCTACAATTTATAATCAGAAATAAATCTACACTAATAATGTACGTTCTACTAAGTTACTAAGTTCGTTACTAAGTTCTTATTACGGTAACATAGTTTACATTTACAAAACAATTTAGAATTTTAACTATATTTAAGATTATGTACTTAATCAGTTTTGGGAATCCAACTACAACACCGTGCGGGAGTTGGTCGGGCCAGTTATATTTAAAAGGGTCACGAAAATATTTAATCTGCCTTCGGATGACAAGATATACGTCCCCCAGTCGGAGACGTCAACTCCTCAACCCTCTGAAGTATTTTACCGTGCCACGGCTGCAGCGTCTGCGGTAAGATTTTAGTTACAAAACAAACGCATATTAGATCTCTCTATTGCCAGAACAATCCTAATATGTTTTACTTAGTGTGCACTTATTATGTAAGGCTTTTAAAAGCTAGCGACAGACCTACAACTTATTAATTTATTTATAATTATATAATAATAATTATAGCTTTTGTGCCACAATTGTTGATGGATTGATAACAATTAATTTGATTATTATGTCATTAACTGATATACAAGATTGCTAATAATTTTTGTGTTATTACGTAAATGTGTTGAGGATTATTTTCCTGAAAACTAAATCTTGACGAGCTTGTTAATGGTAGCAATTTATGGCGATATCAACGAGTCGTGGGTGCGATCCTCACCAGGCCGAACATGTTTTTAATTTTTTTTTTCTAAAACACGCTGGACTTCACCTGGAAATCCGTATATATAAGCGTTTTGGTTTCAATCTGTGGTTTCCTAATATCCAAAGCAAAAAAGGCCGACAGCGCATCTTGCTTACATGCTAAAGGGTGGGAGGCTGTCTTGCTTGTCTCTCCTTATCTTTAAAAAAAGAAGTGTATAATTACAGAGTCGTATCCAAGCCACCTTTTCGGTAACGGATTTTGATGACTCGATGTATGATGAGGTGGAAGAAGAGGATGCGATTGAAGAACAGTCTGTATGGACCGAGTCGTCGATACAGTCCGCGGATTTGAGACGGTCGTCGCGGTCGAAATCCATGACGAGGTCGAAATCGATGAGCACGACGAGGGCACGAAAGTCCATGTCGAAATCGTTTTCTCGTGTCATGTCCAAGAATGTTGTAAAGTCTATGTCCAGACAGTCTAGGGCTAAATCTGAACAATCGATGGGGGATGACGGTTCACCTGCCCACACTTTGGATGATTTGATAGTTCATGCATGCTCTAGAGGAGGAAGGTCATTGGTGAAACAAATTCTATAAACCTAAAATACTTTTCATCTTTCCATTATTAGGGGTAAATTAAATAAAAAAAATATTATCGCAAAAAATATATTTTTAAATGTCTACCCTGTTATTAGCACTGTCCACGCATTTCGATCATGGAAGAGTGCCGAATATAAATATTCTCGTTATAACTTTGCATTTTGAACCGTTAAAGTTTTATTTAATTTATTTGCTATTTACATCTTGTATAATAATGTGTAGTTTAATTATTTTTCTAAACTGTAGTGTTTAATTTTAAGTTTGACGGCGTCGTTGGTGTAATGGTAGCAATGTACATATAAACAATAGCTCGTGGTTTCAACCACCCCCCACCGGGACCAACATTTTTCTAATCAATTTATAATTTTTCTGAAACATCTTTAACTTTGTCTGGAAATCTGGATATTAAATGGGTGATAGGAATATCGAAATTCCGAGTTACGAACCACGGTCCATAAATAAAAAAGCCGTGAAGTTTAATCACGTTTCAGTTTGTGGATTTCCGAATATCCAAATAAGCAAAAATGGGTCGACGGCACATCTTGTTTAGATTTCTCATTTTTGATTGCGAAAAGTAATTAATTGATTTGATAACAACATTATATCGTAAACACTTAATATTTCAAAATACCTGTGCAATTTAAACAATAGCGATAATAAACCGCTAATTGTTGTGAATAAATACCATTTCAGGCGAACTCCATATCGAAAGATAACCAGAAATCCCCATTTCGACATGTTATATTGCAGTAAATCGGAAACGGATATGATTAAGTGGAAATCAAAGTATAAGCAGAAGGGCTTTGAAGTGTCTGCGTCTGATGAGTTTAGTAAGAAAGCGGAGATATTAACTAAAAAGGTACTAATACAAGGTGCCAGCAGACTTATTACACTTAATAGAATGTGATTTGGATTCTAGGCATATTTGCAAAATTTCATTCAAATCCGTCGATTTATTTAGTCGCAGGAATTGATTTAAAATTAACAATAAATACCTTATAATTATAGGCAACATAGATAACGGCGTTTTGCATTTTCTTTGCCATCTTCTAGTTTCAAAAACATCAAAGGTGTGGTATATACAGTTTGTGTAAAGAATCAAATTTAAATAAGTTTTATTACAGTGAGTATAATTCACGTTTAATTTGATAAGTCTTTCGACACCTGTATATTTATTTTTGAATGAATATATAGTTGGTATAAAATAATTGGGATCATAAATATATATGACATTATGTGTATCTATGAGCGGTTGTCGTTAAGGAGATTTTATTTCATGTAGCCGAAATACATACTATAATTCTAAGAATAGATAGAAAAATGTTAAATTCGGATTAAATTATATTCTACTGACTTATGTAGATATATGTATACAAAATATTAGGTTGCTTTAGCATAGTAGTACGGAGTGTGCAATTTAAACCCTAAAACTCGCCATTTCGTAACACTTCAAACACGTAAGAATTTTTAACTGTCTTTTTTTTTCACATCAATCTTTAAGAAATAATAAATAAATGATTTATTATTATTGTATGCAAATTTGTTCGTTATTACCAGATAGCAAAGGAGTTCTACGATTGGTGGACTGGCCTGGGAAATGTCGAGTTTAAAAGTGAAATAAAGAGACCCGAAGACATTGAGGATCTGTTCCAAGTAATAAAACGATTGTATATTAATATAGGTATATGATATAGTGTTTCCGCAATAAATGAAACTTTTCAGGTATGGTTTGATGAACATGCTTCGAGGGGACTTGTGTTGGATCCTAAAATCCTTCCTTGTGTGCTGCAAAGCATTGCCGATTACGTTGGAGTTAAGAAGGTATATTTTTTACTATGTCGGACTTCTAATGATCGTTACTAATTTTAATTTTGTTTAAAACTGCGTCTGAAATACAGTGAAATTTCTTTGTTAAATGTTACTGACGTAATCTTGAAATATACGTTACAATTGGATTAAAAATAAAAATAAGTATTATTTAAATAAAAAACGAATAAAATAATTTTGTTTATATATCTTAAGTATAGTTAAGCAACTTTAGTCTTAAACATTGTCTATAATTTGCACGAGTAAATAAAACTTATTTGAAAATCATTTTAATTACGGTCCGATATTTTGTCAACTACGATAGAACAGATGGCGCTAGCGTAGCAGCTTTTACTTCGACATTAGAGACACCCTCCATCCTTAGTCGTATTTAAAATAATTTCCAAATAAGTGTAACTAATATATATCGCGTTTTAAACCGTTAAAGTATTTTTTTCAAATTTCAGTCTTAGCAGTTGTACTTAGTTAAGCTACATTCTTGACAATATATTGTTTACTAGGCCGGCTGTCCTGGTGTACTGAAACGGCAGATAGCACATGACATCCACGCTGAAACCAGCCCGGCACACGTCCTTGCTTTCGGCACTTGCTTGCCCCAGAAGTATAAACATATCCCACCACAGAATAACACGAAAGAAATGTGGCATTCGTTGAAGATACCGGAGGATTTGAAGACTATGTCTGCCGTGTGGGATGACATTCAGCATCTAACGTTAGTAGTTACTAGTATAAGTAAACAACAGGATACCGAGATATCATTATAGAGTTCCGTTCCAAACAAGGAAACAATGATAGACAGTTGAAATGGCTACGAAATTTTTTTTAATGATGGAGGTAGACAGACAAACAGGGGGTTCATGATAGTATGTGAAATAGCCTAACCTATAACAAGATAGGCTGTCAATCTATTTTGGCTTTGGATCGGAAATCTACAGCTGAAATCGAATCGTGATTATACTTCACGGCTCTTTTATCTATGTTGTCGTGACCCGGACAGAATTTCGATATTCCTACCACCATTTAATACCCAGTTTTCCATAAGAAGTGCAACATGTTTCGGAAAAATTATAAAATAATTAGAAAAATTGTTGGACCCGGTGGGGATCGAATTCACGTACGTTGTTTATTAGACTTACATTGCTACCATTACACCAACGAGGTCGGGAAAAATAATAACCATTATTAAATGAATTTTTAAAGTGCCCGTATAGCAAACATATTGATTTTTTTTAATAAAGAGTATTTTCGTGAGCGAGTCTCGCTGCTTATAAGATATTCTTGAAATATGTGTTGTGAAATGAAGTATAATTAAATATTACATAACTTTCAGGTCAACAAAAGCGTTCCACGCATGGCTCCGAAAGCGGCCACATCTACCGATGCCACCATTCTTTAGATCCCTAGAAAAACCAGGGGAAAAGAAACTGCCCTTTGTGATCCCTTCTGATATTGTCGTCAGAGACAAGGCGTCTTCTTTGTCTGCGCAAGAGTTGGCTCTACCCGTCTCTCAATTCGATTTAGAACTCAAAGAAGTTTTGAGCAAATTACTCAATGAATAGTGTTTGCTGATGTTTTTGATTGCTTTTAGAGCCGATATGAACTACTTTATATTTATTGTTTTATATGTGACGTACCTTTGGAGGTAGTATATAAATTTGAATCACTCGGTTTTATTGACCTGGGTAGATAAATATAATCATTGCAATATTGATTACTGTTGGTTTCCAAATCTATATTTAAATTGTGTTAAGATAATATTTATTGATATTATCTAGGAAGGGAATTCCTGAAACTTTTGATAAAATGAAGGAAAAGAACCAAACTATTAAGTCAATAAAACGCGATGCTATATAAAAAATTTCTTTTAATTTCGCTTGGTAGTGAAGTTACCTTTATATAATAAGATGCTGTTAACGTTAATTTGTATGACGAAGTTCTTATAGATATTTATCACGAGGGCATACTTGAATTAAGTATTTCTTTCAGAAATCAGTTTAGCCAACAACGTAATCAAACTGATATTTATAATATTATATTTGAGACCCTTTATGTGTAGTGTTGTATTAACATTTTTTGTTGTATTGCTAATCTAATTGGTGAGTCCGCCTCTGTGGCTCAAAGGTCAGAGTCATTATAGAATAATACTGATATTATAAAGCTATAGAGTATGTTTGTTTGTTTAAACGCACTGATCTCATGCGGGGTCATCCATAAAGTACGTCACACGAATTTCATGATTTTTTGTGAAACCCCCCCCCCTGTCCTAGTTACAGGTGGTCACATTTCTGAGACCCTCCCTAGTGTGATCACATGTTTTGCAATTTCACATCAAAATTATTAAATTCAAACAGCAGTTCCGAAATTAGTTTTATTTCGTTATTCGATCGATATCGAAATATTTTTTAGTTTAATTAATATTTCAAATCACGCGATTGGTACCTCTAGATACATTAGATTTTAAAATGTGATGTCACGAAACTTAGTACCCCTCCCACCCCTTGTCACACCATGCCACAGTTTGTCGAGCCCCCTCCCCCCCTTTACATGTGACTTACTTTATGGATGTCCCTGCTTCAAATTTAAAAATCCTTTTGTTTTGATTAGAGCATTTATCGAGTAAGGTTTTAGGCTTTAAATATCGCGACCAATAGAAGTGAAAAAATGTAGCTGCAACACTTTATGTCTATCTTTTAAGTTTAACTAGAAAGAACGAATGGACGTAGAAAGGAGGAGGAGGTTTGGGAAAAACAATTTTGGTGGCCAACACAACTATTCTGGCGACAATGTCGCGGCCAAGCTAGTTTAAGTGTGTGAAAAAAAATTATTTATACCTAATAAATAATATCAATAGAGATAACAAAATTACTACAAAACATTAAAATAAAAATTCGTTCCCAGAATTAGGGAAAACGGATTTTCCCCTATTATAAATGCCATTAAACACTGTCTATATTTAGCGAGTATACACATTTAAATAAAACACTTTAACGGTTTTAAACGCTATATATTAGTTAAACTTATTTAAAAATGATTTTTAACTTCGCCCGACGTTTGATCTTTGAAGGGTGGTAGGGGAGACTACAGAGAGAAACTTAAAATCATTTTTAAATTAGATTAACTAATATATCGCTTTTAAACCGTTAAAGTGTTTTATTTAAATAAATGCATTGTTAAAAAAACGTAAAGGACAGACATACCGATTGAACAAATAATTACCGTTTGATGATAGATATTTGATTGATATGTAACTTGATAAGGTTTGATTATATTTTTATTAACACATTCGCAATTCAAATGAGGACCTGTATATGTCTAACGTTCAACAGAATAGTATTATAATTAATGAGTGCGTAACTAAAGTGGAAATGTCGGAAAATAATGTGACACAAAATGAAACGGAGGAGGCGCTGGCGAGGAAAAATATGGGTGACAAAAAATTTCATTCGGAAACAAGTTTACAACACTACAGTCAAAATGAAGAGAACGCCTCGACAGAACTAACTATGGATCCTGGGGTAAGTCGTAATTTAAAAAATAGAACAAAAGAATTTCAGGAACTGCCTCCTACTGAAATATTTACGATTCGATATTTATCTTTATTAAATAGTTTTGTATTAACTCGTTGTACAAAAGTTATCAACGAAATCACGTGCCAAGTGAATGCTCCTTATTTCGTAAACAAACCTGTAAAATCGATAAAGTTATTTTTAGGAAAATGTGCATAAGGTTATTATGTTCTCAAGGACATACTGTAGTTGTTTTAGATATTAGTCAATTGTTAATTGATCGTCCTGATAAATAGTTTTCACATTATCGATTTAATAACATCTTTTTACACTACTATATAATGGCGAAGGTAAATTATTTTTTAATACTTAGAACCAGGCTTTTTTGTTTATTGACATTTTTACATCTTTATAATCATCATTGTTTTATAATTCGAACTTTAAAAAATCAGGATCCAATCATTGGAAAATCCTCGCTTGCTATTTACAAAATGGAAAATTTTTAATTACTGTTATCTTTTATTATTAAAAATAAGTGATATGTTTCCCTTGCATGTGCGTAAATTACTCTTTGTCCTTTGTCCATTTTCCGATACACTTTATCTTTATGCATATCTCCGATACTCGAACCTAAAACATAATTTAAGGTAGCGCGTTTTACAACTGAACTTCGGCTATCATAGATTTTGTTTAATTCCCACTAAGTTGTAGTAAGAGTCGATGTGTATAATTTTACAATTCTTCTTTCAGCAGGTACAAAATGCCTTTATCACGCGTATGTCTTCGTCGATCATGGATGAAATTCCGACGAGAAGACGGACCATGTCACAACCAGGACCTATATCAGGAAGTCTACAGACTGCAATAGCTGCGCGTGCGAAGCGGCGTCAGTTACGAAGCGTGATGTACGCTGATGACGTTATTGAAAATAGTGTAAGCTATAAAGTTCTTAAATTATTAACAGACACAATAGACACTACTTGTGTCGTATCCTATAAGAGTAATTTTTATATTTTGATGTACGGGATACGAATCCAGGTCTCTTCTCGATAACCATCGAGTAATGAAGCCAGTTAAACGCTATATTTTTATTTAACGGGCTTGTTGGTATAACGGTAGTATGTATGGGTAATGACGTGTCGTCTGTACATCTAAATATCAAAGATGTTATGTGGCTGCGATATTTCACCTATCATCATTTGAATACCATTCTTGTCTGTTCTCCTCGAAAATAAAAGAAAAACAAAACAATATACAAATGGGTACTGCAATTATTTGAGGTGGTTCAATTGTGATTGGTACTAACTAAATTTCAGAACGCATTAGTTTTTTAATTATACACGTACACTGTGAACACGTCTGTTGTTTATGGACGCATACAAATAGTGATAAATACAACAGAATACTCGTTTAACAGTAATTAGAAACAAAACGACTAAATGTAATATATATAATGGTCTCTTTCCAAGTGAAATCCTAACTAAAAAATAGTTACGCTAATGCTTAATTATTAAATTTATTTATTTAATTATAAATTAAATATTAATTGAAAAATCGCCCACTTCTTATTTTGTTACCACCAACCAACTTTATTCTTTTCCTGTAAATAAAAACTTTTACGTTGCCCGACATAAAAATTTATAGTTTTCGGAACTATAGATTTGTGTGTGTGTGATTATGTTTTTTAGCCATTAAGTATTGATGTAGGCGATTAAAGAAACATCAATCAAATCGATAAAACCTATAATTGTTAATTTCTATTATCATCGCCAGCGATGTCATTATGAGCTTAGAAAAATATTCTTGTCATTTTCGCAATAAAATGTTCACAAACACTTTGCAAAAATTAGCGAGTAGGTAAGTTAGTAAAAATGCCGTATAGCTTTCTTGGCGTTGTTTAAATTTCTAAACATTGAAATGGAAAATTCTTATAAAATCACGAACTAATTATCGTTAGACGTGGATATATTTTGATTGTTTAATATCCATTAAATCCACTTGATAATAATATAATCTGCGAGGATTACGTTTAGATTATCGAAGCCAAATTTAGCAAGAAATATCCCAATTGCATAATTCTTACGATCGAAATTAATTATAGTTATGTAAACTCTAGAAAAAGGTAACTATAATTTAATTTATTTACTTATCATCATACCTTTAATTCCGACAGCTACGACCTGTGCCTCTTAATACATAGGGCTTAATTTAATACGTTGATAGAGTTTATTGACACTTGTTCTTTAAAATATCGTCATATTAGAAGACTTACGGTTTGTATCAATGTTTTCCTTTACCAAAAAGAACAAAGATTAATGATCTTTTATGCACAATTGCTCATCGATCGCGTGTCGACGATGCGAAAAGAGACACGTACAGTGCAGTTCAGTACGACTCTGAAAGATTTTTAAAATTGAGTAGGGAAATTAAATTAATATCAAATCAAAAGGGTTTATCATGTAATGAAACAAATGCCATGTACAACACCATTAAAAGTATTCGTATGTTCATAAATAAAATCAATATTATTATGAGCCATAATTACAACGGGTAAATAATCAATAAAATGAGGGTAGATTTTCATTCCGCGAGTTTTATAGCAAATTAGTTACGTATAGAATATTGTTTTTTTTTTGTCATTTGTAATAAATTATTTAGTTTAATTACTACTTTTTAACATCGAATGTGAATAAATTGTAGTTAATCTTACGCAATTGTACGGTACTTCATAAGATTATTATCAAGTGCTATAACATTTCAGTGATTTGTGGAAATGTTCGAGTGTTATTTAGTAATTTTCTTGGAGTTTTAGAATGTGTTCCAAATTCGATTTCATCTTGAGAAAAAATGAAAGTATTTTTCATCGTTATTTTATTTAAATGTAACAATTATGGAAATATGTTTTAACGATTACTAAAGTTTTAAGACACTAGACGAAGATAGAGCTTTGTTTAGAGTTGAAAATCCTTCTTTTTAATCTTTGTAAGTCCTATATCACAACGTCATAGGACTTAAAATGATAAACATTGAAATGTATTAATTTGTTAATTAAAACACGATTAATTATATTGTGATTATTTTTATCGGTGAAGTTGAATATTTCTTGGATCTAATCACAGCGCTGAATCAGTAATATACTATTTGGCGAGTGTTTCGCAAGCCCATATAGCATTTACAGAAAACATAAAAGTGCAATGAAGGTACGTTGTAATCCACAATACACACATTATGACGCATAAGTTGTAGACAATGTATTAATAACATTCACCGGGGAAGTTTTATACATAAAGACTATCTTAGATCGACCGTTCGATCGACACCGTTCGGTGCCCAGTGCTGGACATGGGCCTCCCCCATAAATACTTTTTTATATTAATTATGTTCTATTGTCTATAAATACACAATTAAATTTAGTTTCAAAGTACATAAAATCATAAATGCAATATTTAAAAGTTAATCAAGAAGATATCGATGTAATAAAAATAAAATGTATTCAATTTAAGGGCCGAGTGTCATAGCAGTAGCCTGCGATAGTGGGGGGCAATCCCAATTTAGGCGACATAACATTTATCCCAACTTTAAATAAGAGAACCGTGTTTTAAGATTTATACTTAATTTTTTATTGCACATGATATGACTATATGAATCAGATTGAAAAAACGCCACTAGCAGGAATTGAAGCGGCATCCACATCTTTCTGCGCTGTTGCTATGAGGACATGTAAGTTGCAGTAGCTTAATTGATTAGACCAACAGCATGGAATGATGTAGATGCCGGCCGGCCCTAATCGTGGAATTCTTTCAATCTAAATTCCATTTCAACTTACATTGATTGTTATCGGTCTAGTGATATATTCATGACCAGTCCCCGACTCCGGTTGTGCAGAAAATATATTTTCTTTGCATATTCTGACCTGAACCTGTACAATATAGATGATAAGTATTGTCCTCCGTACTTGGATAGCTGTGGCTGTTACAAAGCAGACGAATAAATAAAACAAAAGTATTAAAGTCTACGCGAAGCCTATATCACTTTTATGGGAATCGCCGCTCTGTCCGTGTTTGTGAGGCGGGTCACTCTCGCGCAGCCAACTGTAAACCTTTTGAGTCCAGCCGGCCGCGTGCCACCCCAAACCACCCTCGTCACTCACCATCGCTTGTAAATACTGCGGACGCCGCCGCCCCAACGCTTCGCCTGATGAAAATTCAATCTCTTTATTTCTATATTCCTATACAGCGACTGTCAACTGGATATAACAACTCAATAGACTATTGGCGCTTGCATATTTATTGGACGACGTATTATAGACCCTATGTACAGGCCAGCGTTGTTTAAATATTTTTATTTTACATTATCGGTGGTAAGAACAGCAGCACGGAACGCTGTGGACCCCGGTTCGACTCCTACTGATGTCTTAATTTTTAATTTAAAATTGATTTTTTTATTTATTTAATATCATTATGTGTATGTGTGTGTAGCACAATATAAAATTTCACCCTTGACTTAAAATTAAATTAATAAGTGTTAAGAGAGATGTTTGCATATTTCGTGTTTTCGTGTCGTTGTATTTGTTTTATATATACAAAGCTATCATGCGCATAACATGTGACAAGAAACATTATACATATAATGTGACATTAAATGCTATATATATCATTTATTAAGATTGGGGATTATGTTTAATAATATTATCGCGTTATACATCAATGTTGTATGTTCCTGTTATAAATTATGGGTATTAATTACAAATTTGTAGTCTAGACGTGGTCGTGATACAATGTACTAATTCAAGTTAGTTCATATTTTACATTATATAATACTTCCTGCTTAAAAAATGACATATTAAGAATGACATCACGATTTGATTACTAATGATATCTATATTATGTATTTTGGTGACGATAACAACTATTAAAGTAGTACAGTAAACATTTGTATTCACTCTTAACGGTTTGAAACTTGAAATATATTATTTAAGTTACTTATTTAAATGCTGTTTAATCTTTGCATGCATACGTCGGACCGTAGTCGACGAATATATTCCGCGTTTAAAACCGTTTTAAGTGTTTTACTTCAATGCGACTTAACAAAATAAATCGGATGTTACGCGGAGAGCCTTTTACAACGCAACTGGTCAAAAATTTGTTTTCCGAGCACGGTGCCCAGTAAAAGGATTATAGTGAAAAACGGCGCGGTGTCGATCGAGAGAAACAAGCGACTAATGTAAGTTCATTATCCGATTGTTTCGTTACGGCTTTCGATGTACACGCAACACTTTTTATCTCTATACGGGCGTACGAAATTAAACTCTATCTGGCATCGGTATTCGATACTTCATTCTCTACCGTATTGCATTCGACAAATTTAACTCCATCTTTTCTAATATAGGATGTTTCAAAATGGATATTGTCAATATTACTTACATTAAACATTTTTAAACCGGCATCCACAGCGTTCCGCGCTGCTGCACTATTATGTATATATACTGTTATTATGTGGGAAATCCCGTTCCCCCTCATGGGGCATAGGGCTAACACTTCTTTTCTGTGCCCGTTCCACTGAACAATTTACTGTTTCCCCGTGATTCGAACCCAGGACCTCTTGCGCTTAACAATGCAACACATTTAACCATTTAACTACAGAGGAGGTCCATTACTATTATGATATGTATAAAATATAATATGTATATTGTGAATATCTTTTTTTCAGAACGCAGATAAGCTGAGTAAATTAAGCGTTGTCATTAGAGATGATTATTCCCTTCCACCGGTGACGCCCGGAAGTAAGGATTAACTTTAGATACATTTCTTACTTATTGCTTATAATTTTTATTAATGTACTTTAATATTTATCAGGTGACAGAAACAGCCCGGGTCCATATATATACAATAACAGAAATGGAGACATTAAATCCCTCAGTAAGTAATATATATTTATATATAAATTAAAAATCGATTATAGATTGAAAAAAATTAACGACACGGTCAGGGCAAGAACCGGCATTCACAGCGTTTCCGTGCTGTGCCCTAACCAATGGATCTATCGTGTCTTACACGTTATCGTTGAATTTTTTCAACCTATGGCATATGCAACTCTCGCACATGCATGCATGAAACATTTTAAAGATTTCAAATATATATTCATATAGTAGGAAAGCTTTTTGAAAATGATTTTTTTTTAAATCTTTTTTTTATTAAAAAAAAATATGTCACCGTGATAAACATTCCAAGTATTTGTACAGGAAAATCTTATTTCCATAAGATATGATAGCCAAATCATGATCTATAATATAATATCGTTAATTTGGAAAATTTTTGTTTTTTTTTTTAATCAGCAAAACAAAATACCTGATAGTAGTTAGTAGATTACAGTCGTACAAATACGCTTCCAATACCTAACAAAAGTTTAAAGCATGCGGGAAAACAATTATCAATTAATGTTAAGAAAATGAAAATAATGTTGACTTTGGCGCTTCCATGGAAACGTTATCTAGTGAAGGAAATTTATTTTGTCGGGCTATTTCGCGAATAAAATCGTGTGTAGATTTTAAAAATAGTTAACAGGGGTAAGGATAATGGTCCAATAAGGAAAATACGAATAAAATATATGAATAAAAATAAAATAAAATATACTTTATTCTCTGTGAAATTATAAAAATTATTTAGATTCGTCAAAAAAAATATTAAAAAATATGTTTGTCTGTCCGTTCGTCGTGATTCTACAGAGTGTTCAAAAGAGCAACATAACCGAGAACACCCAAGAAACTCAGTCTTGTTTTCTTTCAACATGTCTTACAAACTAATACATTTTTGTGAATTTAATGACCTTAGGAGCAATTCATATTCAATGCCAGGCAACCCTGTCATTAAAGAAGTCTTTCAAACAATAATACGCCATTTATGGAGACTTATATTTATATATGTATCTATGATTTATTTTTAACTTAGACTGTGGGTTAGTCGGCAATGCATGGTGTCCACCAAAGCTATTGGAAATCAGTCTAGCAATGTTATTGGTGTTTATTACTGCATTTTTAATATTTTTATTTCTTTATGGTAATTTTCGTTGATATGGTCTATAATCTATAGTCTCTGTGTTTTATTTATTTAATGACCTACCTTGATTATAAATTTTTTTTTTATGTTTACATATATTGAATAAACCACTTTAACGGTTTAAGTTTGAGCTATATAAGTGAATAAAAATGTAACTATGAACCGCCATTTCAGTTTGATGCAGCTCACGATCTCTGAGTCCTTTGCAGCAGCCGTAATTTCTTTATATCATTCATCATTTCATGTTTTAAACCGTTAAAAGCATTAATAATTGTACAATTTATATTAATTGTAGGTAATTACCGTTTACAACTGAACGAAGTTAGAGGTGGCAGCACACCACGAAAGCGCTCCGTCGTAACAATGGACGCTCAATCTATACGTTCAGTAGAGACGCAAGCGCCGCCACCGACTAGCCCTGAAGACAATGCTAGACTCTCTGCGTAAGTTTTTACTAGACCCAGTGATGTCACACTTATTCTTACTTATTATGTTTTGTATAAAGAAAAATAGTCTAGTTCCTGCATTTTTAGTTGAATTTCTTATTATAAATGTATATTTTATGAAAGACACAAGGGTGCACCTGATAGGTGGAATACCCCAGCCACATACATACCATCTAAGAAAGATATGCTATCGAATTTTTTGGCTTTGGATATTCGGAAATCCACAGACTGAAACCGAAACGCGATTAAACTTCACAGCTTCATCTGTGGACGGAATAGCCTAGTACCCATTTAATTACCAGATTCCAGGACAAAATCCAACATCTTTCAGAAAAATAATAATTGTATTATAAACACGTTGGACCTAAGGGACATGCTATTATAAGATTGAAAATTTATGAATTAAATTCATTTTTTAACTCCAGTTTCTGTCCTGGAAGTCTGTGGGGAGTGGAAATGGACAAAAAAGGTGTCCCAAAAACCACTTCTTATCTATTCATTCCATTAGTAATGACGTCATGCGCGAAAATAATTGTCTTCTTCTCTTTCAGGAAATATTTAGCGCTCATCCTAAGCTCTATGTACGCCATACTGTTAGTAACACTAGGATTAATCATTTACCCTGGGGAACCATTTGTTGACTTAACAAATCCATCACTGGTAATGTATTTTCAGTTACTCACACCGGTACCACAAAGCTCTGAATGAACTATAGGGAGCGTTATAAATCTGAAAAAAAGTTAAATAAATATGAGGCTGCTAGCTGCGGCAGAGTGGCCTAATAAAAAAAATATGATTTTCAATAAGGAGGCAAATAAAAACGGGCTATTAACTTAGGCGAAAATTAATTAAACTATTATTTGTATAATAATTATTATTTACAATTTAACATTTATTGACTATGAAAATATAATAATTCAAGTCATAAGATTGTAGTTAGGCTACTCTGCCTCTGGTGGCCTTATTTAATTTCCCACTGACAGACTAATTCGTTCATCATCATCGTACTTCAATACTGACTTGTAAGTCATCTTTACTTTCTGATGATATTTTCTGGTTGATTCAATATTTAGTGAGCTTTATATTAACTCTTCCATTATCATTTCAGTTGTTTATTATATTATATAAATTATAACCTTTTTCAGATCTATTCCCTATGTCTCTTGGGTATTGGATTCGTATTCCAGCTTTACTTGCTAATCGACATAGGCAGGTACAAAGGGATCGCAATGAAGAACCAGAAAATCAAAGGAATACATATGGACAAATTCTCGGAATTTCTCAGGAAACAAGAGGTTTGTATTCATTTTTTTCTCCACAGCTGGGACGCGGGGTGCTTAAGACAGTATAGGCCCTGATAAATATTATCGACCACATCACATTGATTCTAGGATATGCTGATTCCCTTAGACAGCTCATCTCAGGATGTACCTATAAATATTTATAGATTACTAGCTGTGCCCACGTCGTCGTTCGCGTCCCATCGTTCTTGCGAGTTAATCTTAAAAGATAGAGAAAGAAGAAGAAATCATTATTTTATATTTTTTTTTTCTTAAACTGTTTCGCAGCGCATGCGCAGTCATCAAATATGAATAAGTTTTCCCTTTTTAACCACATCTCCTTCCGTTTCTTCGCTCATATTAGACGCAGCGTGATGTTATATATATAAAAAAAAATATATATATATATATATATTGAAAATAATTTTTCAATTCAAATCAGTAGTTTCTGAGATTATCGCGTTCAAACAAACAAACCGACAAATTCTTCAGCTCTATAATGTTAGTATATTTAATGCTTTGTACAATGATAGTCCAGTTTCTATCTTACTACTTAAAAAAGTTGAATATTAACACAATATAATTTAAAACACATATAAGGATAATAATTTTTTTTTGAATATTATCGGCTAATCGACGAAGATAAGCGTTGAAAACTAGTTCTCACTTGATATCAGTCCTCGACAAGCACTTGACAATATAATTGTGATTATAATCATTGCTGATGTTATTGTCCCACATACCTTTCGAATTTGCATGGCACCACAATCTAAATCTTATTTTCATTTATTGTGGGCGCAGTATTAGAAAAAATATTTATCTTATAACTATGAAAAATAGCTCAAAATCTCAAAATGTCTGTTTATCAAAAAAAAGACTTTATTGATAAACATACAAAAATCTTAAGGTCATATTTCCTGTCTATATATTTCCGCCGTATTAATGTGATTTAAAAAGAGTGGCGGCTACCACAATTAAACCGTTTTCGAATGCATTAAACGAAAACGCCCAAAGATAAATTAATTTTTTCCCGTTATATCCACATTTCATACTATGTCTTCGCTCTTATTGGCCGCATCGTGATGTTTGATAGCCTGAAGCCTTCGCCTATAAATATTTTAACGAACACAAAAAGATTCTTTAACTCGAAAGTAGTTCGTAAGATTAGCGAGTGCAAACAAACAAACTCTTCAGCTTTATAACATTAGTATAGCAATAAGTTTACAATTTACTTTCAATAATGACCAATCAACAAAAAGCACGTCTTAGCCGTTTTATCGCCAAAAATTATTCGCATCTTTGTGATCACTTATTATAAGACATTACTCAGGTGCATAAAACCTTTTTTTTACAAAATTTCTTAATTTTGAATCAGATAGATGAGGATTTCGGTAATGAACCGGGTGAGAGAGCGACGGATTTGAATCGGAGTAGTTCTATTCCGTCACCTGTACTGATACCACTAAACCACGACTACTGCTTCAGCCAAGGCAGACATTCTGGAAGCTTCTATCTTAAGTTGGGTGCTGCAGGTATGTTTATAAATATTACATAGATATTAACAATTTTGTTAAATAAGATCAAAAAGCACAACTTTTTTCAGTAAAACTCGGTAGTTTACGCGAGCAGCACACATTTAAATAAAGCACGCAATTGCTTTAAAACGTGATGTTTATTTGTTAAACTAATTTAAGAATAATTGTAACTACGGCCCGACGTTCTTTGCAGCGGCCGTGGTCACGGGGAGACATACAACAAAGCATCCGAAACGTCGGGCCGTAGTTAAAATAATTTTTAAATAAGTTAAGCTAATATATTTCGCGTTTTAAACTGTTAAAGTGTTTAGTTAAACTTTTTTATGTATCAAAACCGTTTAAATTAAGATTTTGAAATAGGCGATGTTATATAGAACTGGTTTATTATTCAAAATCTGGCTTACTAGTTCAAAAGCTTTCTTTATGGCTAATATTTTTATTAAATTAGACTAGATCATTTTACTTATAAGAATTATGTATATATACATAAAACAAAAATATATTGATAGTTAAATATTGTCTGTGGTTTACGCGAGTAGTACACATTTAATTTAAACACTTCCACGCTTTAAAACGCGATGTATAATACTTAAACGTATTTGGAAATTAGCTTAACTCCGGCCCGGCGTTTCGGATGCCTCCCAGTGACCACGGCTGCTGCAAAGCATCTGAAACGTCGTGCCGTAATGAAGATAATTTCCAAATAAGTTTAACTAATATATATCGTGTTTTACATCGTTAGTGTTTTTATAAATATATTGATAGTTCTTATAATATAACGAATTAAAATATGTGTTTTTTTTGTTCAGGTTTTGCATTAGGACATCTGGTACACTCAGTGCTACTGATTGCGGTTCAAGTCGGCTTTATATTAGACGAAGATATACCAAACGAGGAGTGCGTCAATATACTACAAGTGGTGTTCGATGTGTTGCAGCCCCTTTACTGCTTCTTACAACTTTACTTCATATTCAAATACTGCAACGTGCTCATTTTGAAAGCTCAGGTTGGTTTAATCTTGTAAAATTATGAAATTCCTGAAAGTATGTCTCTGGGTCGACAAGTTTAAAATTTAATCTACTCAGAACTAAGAATCCGTTAATGGCTCAGATAAAGCTTCTTTAAGTTTGGACGTATTACGTAAAAATATTGGACTCTTATCGTTTTAGAAGCAATATATGTCAACGGGTTCGATTCCCACCAGCACAATTCAGTTGCTAAGCTTCTAATTTTTACAAGGGTTTTAAGCGTGTAATTTTTGTTAGGGTACCTGTACATTAGGATGATTAAGCCAAAATGGGTCGATAACACATCTTGATTAGATGTTTTAGAGATTTATAGTAGAAATCGGATCCGTTGTCATATATTATGGGCCCATCCAGTTATTAAGTGACTTCTATTTTTTTCTAATTATATTACTAATATTATAATGAACGGTTATTTTGTAAATCGTGTTTAGGTTCCAACCTATACATTAGAATGGATACCAAAATGGGTCGACAACACATCTTGCTTAGATGTTCTTACTGATTAATGTATTTCTAGGGTTTGGCATACTTTGGATTCATGCACATGATCGGCAGCAGTCTATGTTTTTGGATTTTCAACATCGTTCGGGAAACTATTTTAGCATTAACTATTTATGCGCAAAAGAAATATGGCAACAATACCAATGTTGAGGAAGTTGAAGATATCGAAGGTATTATAAACATTAAAAAATACGCTTTTATTACTAATTTACAGTATTTATTATATAAAATTAGAAATATCTCATAATTTTAATTAGAAGTATTGTAATATTAAGTGCATTCTAATTTAAAAACATTGATAAATTATTTGATTTTGGGTTACTCTCTTATCATGTTTAAGTCTACTGTCTAGGTACTAGATTCATATCTACTAATTTACTAGATTCATAATATGTTTTCCTTGCGAGCCTAAGTAGTGCAGAAGTTAATACTGTTTTTTAACTTTATTTAATTTTAAAACTTATTTCAGTGGCCATAGCTCGCTTTGATTTAAGCGACTTGTACAGACAAAATTGTACCGGATCGGATGTAATGACAACGATAATATCCAATCTTTCACCGTACTTGTATCCTTTTGGAGTTGAATTTAATATTTTAATAGGTAAGCTGTATGTATGTACAAATATAAAGATTTTTAATTCTTTATCGTACTAAGACTGTAATTTCTCGTGCTTATAAACGTCGACAAATGCGCGTTTGAAAGTGTTCACGCAAAACTTCTGAATGTATTTTCTTAAAACTACACTGAAACTCCAGGAGTTTGCAGACTCCTGTTTCCCCAGTGGGGCATGCGACGAAAACAATTCTTCAATTGTTTTTTTAATCCATTTACATGCAAGCAATTGATAAGACTTCTGTGCAATTATTTCTTGTTTCCTCGTGATTTGAACCTCGGAAACGTAATAGGACATATTTATCTCTTATTCTATTGAAGTAAATTTATTACATCCTTTGATAAAATAAGCTTTATTCATAAAGCATTTTACTTAATATAATAAATATTTGTTTTAGTGGCTGTTTATTATATAATATGGAGCAACATTGGAAATTGTGAAAATGTTGACGCTGCCGATGGAAGTTCGAGTTTGGATGACACTCAAACTATTTGCAAGTATGTAACTTTGTCGATAAACTATTGATAGCGTTGATGAAAACGATTTTATTGAGAAGCTTTGAAATTTATACGCGATTATTTCGCTAGTCAGTTACCATGCAACCAAGTCCTTTTTTAGCATATTGATGTTCCAGTTAGGCTCAATTTTCTTCAATTTGACCATGCTAGTTTGGGCTTAAACGCCCACTACCATTAAATTAATAGTGTCAACTGGGACCGACAGCTTTTTCTCTCCGAGGCACGTAGGTGTTTTTACCTACGACCTCAAACATTTTGTGTACCTGCGCGCATAGAAAACTTCCCAAGAAGATCTCAAAGTAACATTTCACGATTAAAAATTCGAATCCGGGCCTACATATCATCAGTACTATTTAAAGAAGAATTGTTCTGTCTGTAGTTTACGCGAGTGGTACACATTTAAATAAAACACTTTAACGTTTTAAAACGCGATATATGTTCTTTGCGTCACGGGGAGACCACGGCTGCTGCAAAGCTTCCGAAACGTCGGGCCGTAGTTAAAAATAAATTTCAAACCGGTTAAACTAAAATATATCGCGTTTTAAACAGTTTAAGTGTTTTATTTAAAATAATTATTCTTTCATACATATGTTTGGCATACCTTGAACCGTTGTTGCCTAGTTTTCCCCGTGTTGTTTTTCACATTTTCCACTGTCCCTTCGTTCCTATAGGCAACAACCAGTTGTTTTATAGCGTAAAACCTTCTTCGATAACAGATCTTAAGACGAAAGACCACAGACGGATTTTTCAATTCGAACCAGTACTTCCTTAGCTTAGGGCGTTTAAACTTTAAACATACAAACAAAGAAGCAAATAAACTCTTTAGCTTCATTGGTATACATAATAAATGATTTTGATTAATTTGTAAAACTTTAAAGAGATATGTATTATTACATAATCATATATTTTATAATCATATATTTTTCTAGGATACCAACAGCACACGAAGACAATGATTACACGAGTAATATCGTCATCTACGCCGATTGCCATGCTTCGAACAAGGGACTGTTTTTGGGACTTATATTGACTGTCATTATAGTCGGAAACCTTATTATTGGTTTTGTGCTGGGTAATCTTGGAAAGTAAGTAATATTTGGTATATAGCTTTTTTTTCATATATGAGACACCTATGTAATACGTTTAAACTCAAGAAATGCGTAACATATACCATAAATTTATGACATGCGTCACAGTACAATATTTCTTTATACACTTTTTTAAAAACTTCGGAATTATATATTTGTATAAGAATTCTAGTATCATACGGCTATAATAAGTAATTATACCTTATTATTCTTAATAGTATTCAAAATTCCAAATACATCGACAAATTTCTGTAAATCTTTGGGTCTCAGAGCGTAACACGTTACGACGCCAGTGTTGCCTTTCTCTTATATACCAGCGGTTTTGTAAATTTGGACAGTTTATTAAAAAATCGTTGACATTATTTGAAGCCTAATAGATCGACACCGAAGTCTTGTTTAGATGTCCCAACTTAGCTGAGTGGACTCCTTTTCGGAGGCAACTATTTTTATTTTTTAATATTTCATATGTATTTAGTTATTTTTTTTTATTTGTAATGATTTTTTTTTATTGTGTTTGTTAAATGTCTTGTGTTGTTTCCGAATAAATGTCTTCTATTCTATTCTATTCTATGTAATATTGCTTATGGTTTCATTCAGTGAATCTCTATTAATCTAAACTAAGTAATTCGTATTTTCAGTGATTATGCTGTTGTCGGCCACCTAATAAGCAGTTGGGTGAGACTTGGAATACATACAATTATGTTGCTTGCTGTCGTAATAGCTTTCAACCAGACGAGAAAACTACACATCAACGAGCACCCAATATCGTTACTTGATGACATTTTGCTGTTCGTTTGTCTGCCAGCGTTTTTCCTCGAAACGGCGCTGTCACTTATGGCTACGATCAATATGAACAATATTGTTAGGAGCGTGGACTTTCTGATGATGGTACGTGACATTTTTTACTTTATTCATACAATTGTACTACACACATTTAAAGTGAATAAAGCTGGTCTACTACTACTGGTACTACAGTGTAATAACCCTTATAACCGTTTAAAACATTGAATTATTTACACTTTTTATAAATTATTTTAACTACTCGCTGTTTTGGATGCTTTCCAGTAGCCGCGGGCACGGGGATGGTGTTTTAAACCGTTAAAAGTGTTTTATTTAAAAGTATACCACTTGCGTAAACTACAGACAGTACTAAGAACAGATTGTATAATTTCGTGAATAGTTTGGCTTGTTTTATTGGTTCCTCGGCATTAGAACGCAGGAACTCACGTGCTTAAAGCATTGCTAGGCAAAACGTTTAACCATTAATTTACTTTATCAGTTATTTCTGGTAAATAAACCTTTGTGACGCCTTATTTTTCAGGTGATACAAGTTGTTCTTCAAACAGCGGTTCTAGTGGACGGTCTGCGCAGATGCAGTAATACACGAAAACTTCGTAGAAACAAACCTGGTCGAGAGATCCTCATGTTCCTGATAATAGCAAACGTAGCCATGTGGATGATATACACCTTCTCGTATAAGTCACCAGATTCTCTTGACGAGAGATACAAGTACTTTGGAAAGGAGCTGTGGAGTATTTTAGGACATATATCGCTTCCACTTATGATGTTTTATAGATTTCACTCCAGCGTTTGTTTCGCTGATATCTGGGACGCCGCCTACAAACCTGGCTCCGAACATTGATAAACGATAGTTTAATAGGTAAATTTTATATTTTGTAGGTAGATAAGTAACGCTTTACATAATTATTATGTACATATGAGATATTCCGTATCGGAATCTATGTTATTAGTTTAATTAAATATATATGTATTATATAAAATAAGTTTCAACGACCTAAGTTAATTACATACTATGATTAATTTGTTAGTTTTTATGTATAATAACTACCATTTAAAGTTTTAACTGTACTGAACTTGAGAATACATATAAATTAACATTAAAACCTCTTTTTACACAATATACATAGTAAAAATCAAACAACGAATAAATACTCTTTCTTTTTTTTTATTTACCTATACTATGTTGGTAAAAATATTGCAGAATCAGATGCAGTTTGACATATTAAAAGCACACACTTGCGACAGATAAAATCAATCAGTGTCACTATTGTTTTCTCAGGATTCGAAGCGAGGTCTTCTCATCTTCGCTTAACTATTGAAACGGGTTCGATCTCTGACGGGTCCAACATGGTTCTAATTTAATTCATAATCTATCTGAGACATGTTGGCCTTCGTCTGGAAGAGTGGAGCTTAAATGGGTGGTAGGAATATAGAAATACCGTTCGGGTCACCATCCACAGATAAAAGCGTCGTGAATCGCGTTTCGCTTTCAGTCTGTGAATTTCCGAATATTTAAAGCCAAAAAGGTCGACAGCGCATTTTGTTTAGTTGGTTTGTGTCACCTACCATCAAGTGAATTCCTGTCTGTCCTCTATCATAAAAAAAATATAATAAATATGTCTTCCTTTTTACTTACTCCGTATTTTTCATTATAGTCTTGTGTTGCACTCACTGCGATCAAAGACCAGAGCAATTAGGCGACAAATGCATGTATACCAATACCGGAGCCGGCTGACCAGCTGAGAGACCGGTTAATTATGTTGGTACCCTCTAATGCAATTATGGTATATTAGGTTAAGTACTCGGGCGGCCAGAACGCACTTACTGCATCTTAGATACAAGCTAGTTATATCATCGCCCTCGAGATATTACAAGCCACCTGAATAGAATATTCACTACTATAAATCTGTAATGATCAACACTTGATATTCACAAATCCACCTTGACATCGAACATTTTTGCAGTTTGCATCAGGAATCAGCGTGCTATAACTTTAACTAATACATTTCGCGTTAAACCCTTAAAAGTGTTTTATCTAATTGTGTATTACTACACTATTTAAATAACAGTGACCCGTGACCATCACTGCTGCAAAGCATTCGAAACGTCGGGCCGAAATTAAAAATCATTTTCAAATAAGTTTAACTAATATATCGCGTTTTAAACCGTTAAAGTGTATTATTGAAATGTAAACTATAGACAGTAGTTTATTACTACACTACTGAAATACAAGTTGCATACGTGAGCCATCGACTTTTTATCTGTAATTTAATTTCGACAGTACACTCAGTAAACAAACATTTTAAGTTCCGTAAAGATTATGTAGAAGAGGTACAACATAATTTTCTTTCACCACAATGGTTACAGCATACATAATATTTAAATAAATTAATTGATCTTAGAGTTCAGTGCAAAAGCAACTTTCAGGCAACGAAGAAGAAATTATGTCTCGTAAGTAAAAAGTAAACTAATTAAAAAATAAAAATAAGATAAGATTGGAATTATTGGAATGGCCCTGAACGTCTGATGTACACATATGTGTTCGAATCTATCCTGTCACTTACTTATATCGTTAAAAAAATATGAGTCTGGTCGAGTTGCGAAAGGTAAAAACTATATGTGGTAGCAATTCCTTCCATATCCTGAATGATTGGTGAAATATCTACAAAAGCGTATCCATTGGGCATTTAGTGCTAGTGTACCAGTAGGCCATAACGTGTAGCGCGGATATGCGCTTCGCTGGCCAATGCCACCGTCGTCTAATTGTTTCCGATCTCTGCTGAATAACCACTGCGTTCAATTGACGAAATATGAACACGCCACTGGCAACCGATAAAGCCACTCTGCGAAGGATTTTTTAGCATGCATATTTATCTTATTTAGACGCCCTGACGACTGCGAAGCAAAAAGCAAAGATTGATTGTAAATGTATATCTGTTCCACTGTAGTCTTTATAATATTTATTATAGGTTTATTATTTATAGAATAAACCACCAAAAATATATGTAAAAGAGGAAAAATCTTACGTACTAACTTATAAATAAACGGCGGCCTTATCGCTAACCAAGCAATCTGAAGTACAGAAGATTTAAGGGTATTTAAAGTATCGAATTGTTATAATAATTCGGGTTGCATAGGCTACCTGTTATATATATATATATATATAAATATATATATATATATAAAAAAAAATATACGTCTTAATTACCAACATTAAAAAAATAAATTGTTAATATAAAAATATTGTTTTCATAAAGATTTTTTTTTTCAGTTTTAGTTACAGAGGGCGCTAAGTCCCTGAGGACGAGACTAGTTAAATAATTTCAAATTTAGAACCGCTTTATTAATGTAGATGATACTTACTACTTGCCATTTTACACCTATCACACAATGAACTGACGCATTTCTGTGTGAACGTAAAATACATTTCTGATATCGTGAATTTCATAATGAAAATGTTTTTAAACAACACAGGTGGCCGGAGTCCATTAGCGTGTCACTATAAAATTAATACACCGTTTGTTTTTCACGACACTTAAAACAGTATCCAATAATTGCATCATAAAAGCCATCGATGCATGTACTACATAGTAATTAGTTTATAGCGGCCCCTTTTAATAAAGATAACTCAATTATTTACATTTCATTAAATACATACTACCACTGTTTAAATACGACGAAACTGTTATTCAAGATTTTAAATGGGTCAAAATATTCTTAACACTTCTATATCTACCAAATTGCAACTTCGGATTACGAGAACGTTCGGACTGCTAATTTTTCAGTTGTAAAATACATTGTATTGGGGTTCAAGTCCTTGTATAAAAATAAAAAACACCAGAGCGAAAGAACAAATAAATAAATGTATTAAATGTGAGAATACAAAAAGAATTGTGAATGGTATTTTAACCATAATCCAAATAATGCGCATTATAAAAATGTGACTATGAACTCAGTCAACAAGCGCTATTTATCAGAGCATGGTATATTTGGTCACGGTTGTCGAGTCGGCGCCCGCGCACGCCGGAAGGGCGCGACGACACCGGACGTCCTCGCGACCCGTGACCTAAACATAACATACGCGGTTTGAAACTCGTCAGATGTACACGTGATGAAAAACATTTTTTTATGTGACTAGTATATATTTAAAATTGAAAATTCGAAGGAAATATATTTATTAACAGTAAAAAACCGTTTTAAACTCGGTAGACTAAATTAGTCTATAAATAAAGAATGTACAAATGCAACCTGCTATACATCTTATAATGAACATTGGAGTTTAATTAAGAAGTGTAACATGTGTAAAGAGCCCTCAACACACACTCCGTCTTGAAGATTGACGTTAAGAGGCAATGGGCCTTTCTGTATTCTGCTCATAAGGTATGTTTACCATCCAATTTGTTTTCTGTGTTTATTAGTTAGATTATGAAACAAAAATGGTTGTTAAACATTAACGCCAAATTGAGTAGATAGGTACTTGAAAAAACCTTAGAGAAGGATTAAATATTTGCCACCGAAGTTTAGTTAGAGCAACAGCAAGATATATTTTTCATGTGGGTTCGCTTCCTCTCTGTGTTAATAAACGTTTCTTTTATTAAAATTATTATTCTTTAGTTTCTCTATTTACTTTCAGACAGGATTTAATTTTTTTGATTTACCTATAGACAAATATTATAACTTCTGTCTATATATCGCTATTGATAAAGTTTTCCCTCTGAACTACTTTTTATTATCACCCTCCTCTGCCGTATTATTTATTGATAAAATTTGTGATTTTTACCTCAATAGATTCAATATATCAAACTGGCTCACTAAAAGCTAAAAGATCCTTGCCGGAAAATCTAATATTATCCTCTATATTGCTTCGACAATATATAGTTTGAAACAAAATTATTAAACTAAAATAATAATGGATGATATTGTTTTGTTTCCTTAGTTTATGATACAGGATAAGAAAAAATTCTTTTTTTTATTTTACCCCATATTTCAACGGCGGGGCATGGGGCGAACACGTATGTCAAACTGATAGTTTCACTAATAATTGATTTTATTTATGGACAAGTAATTGAACAGACTTCTGTGCACTGCCCGATCGAAACAATTTACTTTTGATTCGAATTAAAAAATTCACGTTTAGTTAAAGCGCGATATATATTAGTTAAACTTATTTGAAAACAGCAGACGTGGTCACGGAGAGACCGCTGCATCCGAAACGTCGGGCCGTAGTTCAAAAAACTTTAAAATAAATTTAATTAATATATATCAAGTTTTAAACCGTTAAAGGTTTTATTTAAATATACTACTCGCGTAAAGTACAGATAGTATTTAACTCATGTTTATCGCAAATCTAGGCTTAAATGTTTAGCTACGGTAGCAGTATCTATCTATACGTCTTATATCCAATTAATACCCTTTACCTCATTTCACCTTTAGACATACCTTTTTCCTCTTGTTCACGAAATCAATTGAAGTAGAACAAACACTGTGATCATTTAACTAAGCAAAATTACTTTGAATGAGTGTGTTAAGCTCAAAATGTATATAACGCTATGGTTAGATAGAGAAAACGTAGTTGTCACTAAGCACAGAGAGTTCCCCCTAAAATTCGGGAGTAAATGCTTATTTTGGAAACTTAACCGCGTTTGTTGGTTGGGGTGTAATATTGAGTTACAGGTAACGGTTTAAGAATAAAAAAAAAAAAAAAAAAAAAAAAAAAAAAAAAAAAAAAAAAAAAAAAAAAAAAAATTTTAACCCCCCCCCCCCGGGGGGGGGGGCCCGGGGGGCGGGGGGGGGGGGGGGGGGGGCCCAGCAGCCACGGCCGCGACTTTCCAAAACAAAGAT